AGTACATTTACTGTATTTAACAACACTGTTCTGCAAGGAGGCCTGTAGGCTGGCCCTGGCCGCCTGAGGGCGATGGGTTACTGCCCCAGCTCTGCAGTGCGGCCCAGCAGTGTTCGAAGCACGGGATCCTACAGTTCCTTCACATCCACACTGAGCAGGAAAGCTGCATGTCTTTAAAGCCCATGGCTCCACTTTACGGTCATGTGACTAAGGTAATGTGCCTGAGACAATGGCTGAAAGATAGAAGGCTCTCAACAAAGACCAGCACCCGTTCCCTTTCTGGGGAGCTTGCCTGGAGGAGCTGAGCCCTAAGCCCTATGGCGACTGGATTAATGCACAATAGAGGAGGCAGCTCCTCTGAGCTCACTAGTCAAACCTCAAAGGTCAGTGAGAGAATGTGGGCAAGCACTTCCCGAAACTGTGTAGGACTCTGTCCCTCAGGGAGAAGTAGGCACTGGGTGTCCTGGCGTGCTTGTTAATCCCCGCCGCTGCAGTGCTGACTAGGAAACGGGGCCAGGGCAGCCGAAAAGCTTGACAAAGCTCCCACACCCAGAAGCAGAGGGGAGGCCATGCGACTCAAGACCAGCTCTCGCTGCCTGGTCTTTCCCTGGCCACAGGGTCTTCCAGGGGACACACACAGCCTTCCCTGCTTCTTTCTTTAGCCAGGCAGCCATTCGACTCCCCCTCCTCCCTGCACCCCAGTTTCACCATTAGGGAGCAGAAATGTATTAGCTTCGCACATCTTATAACTAAAGGAAGCAAAGACAGCTTGGCCATCAGACAACCTTGGGAATATGTGTATTTCTAAGCCCAGACATCTCCTGTGGCTGGAGGGAGGGCTGGGTTGGGTCTGGCTCTGTGGATGCCCTCAGCGTGGCCCTGTGAGGTCTGCAGTGAAGGGCGGGCCAGATGGAGGCCCTGGGGCTGCTCCAGGTTCGATTTCCGGTCAAGGGCATGCACCTCAGTTGCATGCTTGATCAGTGTGGGCTGTAAGAGCTGAGGCATTTCCTGCTGAACTGAGAACCTTCCCACTTAGCTAATGGAATGTCCGTGCTGCACTCTGTCACGCACAACACCTCCTCTGATTCACACACACATTTAAGAGAGAAAATGACAACAGAGGGTCTAATGGAACGGACAGCACTGCCATCGGCAGCAATGCCGAAGCCTGGGCCTGGATGCGAGCTCTCGGCCAGAGTGGGAAGGAGCCGTGATTCAGTGTCCTGCCCCATGTTCCCCTTAAGGCTCTGGGACTTCCAGGAAATGCTGAGGCTTCCTGGTCACCAGGGGCCGTGGGGGAGGGGACAGGGCTACAGGACCATCTATATACACAGTTGTCTGTTCTCTCACACAGCGCTTGCTCTTTTGTGCATCGCTGGTCGATCCCCACTGTGGGCCAGACACCATGGGCTTGAGAATAGGTGTGGGCTCACGAAGAGCCACATTCTAAACACCTGGCCTCAGCACCCGACTCTTGTCTCTGTGGGCCGAGGCGTCATTTACACGCCGCAGAATTTCAGAGGGAAATGGAAAACCTTGCATGCTTTCAGAGGCTGCGTGGCAAGCAGATGAAGTGTTAACCCCTTGTCTGTTTTAGGTAAAGTAAAAAGATGTCTCATGGGAAAGAAGAGCTATTTGAGTGTCAAAGTTACTCTTAAAGCATGACTTCACACCTGTTGAGTGGGAAAGCCCTTTAGCCTGAATGAAATCAACAACACAGGGCGAGCCTGCAGGCCAGGCTGCTCTCCCCGCTACCCCCACGCACAGCCTCCCTGGGGTGTGTGATGAAGACCTGGACTTCGCAGATCACCCGTGGGAGAGGCAGGGAGCTGAAGAATCTCAAACCACTGTCCCCAGCCCAGAGAATCTGATCCAATCTATCAGAAACTCGATAGATAGCATGGGTGTCTTCAGGAGGTGGCAGAAGTGGTAAACATTTGTTTAAAAGTTTTTATTAAAAAAAAAACAGAAACAAATTCATAGATACACAGAAGAAACTGAGGGGAGAGAGATTGCCAGATGGGAGAAAGGGAGGGAGGACTGGGTAAAGAAGGTGAAGGGACTAAGAAATACAAATTGGTAGTTATAGAAGAGTCACAGGGATGTGAGGTACAGCATAGGGAATGTAGTCAGTAATATTGTAATAACTCTGTATGGTGCCACATGGGTTCTATACTTATGGGGGGATCACTTTGTAACTTATGTTAATGTCTAACCACTATGTGTAAACCTGAAGCTAATATAATATTGAATGTCCAATGTAATTTAAAAAATTTTTAATTAAAAGGAATAAAAGCAGCTTAGCTGGTGTGCTCAGTGGTTGAGTGTTAACCTATGAACCAGAAGGTCATGTCTAGATTCCCAGTTAGGGCACAGGCCTAGATGCTGCTTCATCCCCAGTAGGGGATGTGTAGGAGGCAGCCCCTTGATGACTCTTTCTTATCATTGAAGTTTCTATTTCTTTCTCCCTCTCCCTTCCTACCTCTGAAATTTTTTCTCATATTCAATAAAAAAAAATCTTAACTTCACCACTAAAAGAAGTATTCATGAAAAAGCATAACATCCATGCAGCGATGTGCACAAATCTAAGCACCCACCTTAATGAGGTTTTATAAATGAATACCTCTGAAACTCCACCCCTACCCCCTTTACCCATCAAGTTACAGAACATCCCAGAGGTCTCAGCACAGGATTTTTAAACTTAAACTCTTTTATTTTGAAAAAAAATTAAAATTCTTTAAGTTGGAAGAGTATTAACAATGAAATCAGCATGGGCATTTAAGAAATCTCCTCTGTTGATTCTAATATACATACTGTGTTGATTATAATAATTTGCTGTTTTTGACACACTTCTGGCCATACAAAACCTCCAATACTGTTACTGATTTCTACACCAGGTCATTATTTATCAAGGTTCCTTCAACATAGAAATTAATGGCAGCTTCAGGTACATTTAATTTTGTTGTACTGTGATTGTTTTTATGACTTTTCATGCATTATGATCTACAAGCTCCCCTTTCTCCAGTTATATATGGATAAAGCAGCCCTATTTGCTATAAACAAAAATGCCTTGTGTGTACTTGAGAAAAAGAAAAGTGGAGATCATGCTAAACATTTGTGGGTTGGCCACTGGTTGACAATTGGCAAGGCCAGAGATGAGATCTGGAGCCCCCTACAGTTCCTGGGCAGGGGTATATAAAAGGCAGGAGCCTGAGGAATGAAGGCCTAGTGAAAAAACAAAACAAAAACAAGAGCAACCACACTCAGGCCTGGTAGAAATATGCAGACACCAATTTGAACTCTGAGTTCAGGAAGGCCAGCAGGAGAAATTCTGAGATGTAATGGGAAGGCAGGATGAAGGAGGCGACAGCAATATACCCAGAAGCCAAGCTTCTCCGGAGAACATGTGGCCACAGTCAGGGAGCTGTGCTGTCTGTCATCAGAGGCCGAGACACACGACAAGGCTGGCTCAGAAGGAGTGCGGCTGCCAGGGGGTGCCCTGTGGGACTGCACCTGTGTGCACCTGAGTGATGCATCTGATTTTAATTTGCACAAATGGTACGCACAGACTCGCAGCAGCTCTGGGAGCAATGCTGGCACAGCTGGATTCTGCCCAGGCTCTGCACCTCCTCTTCGGCTCCTGTACGTAGGTGCAATTCCTTACATGACAGTGAAGTGGCTTTTCCATTCCCAGCAGCCCACACAGTGGGGCGGGAGTCAGATGCAGCTCTACGAAGGAAGGCTCCAGATGAATGAGGAGAAACGCCTTTAATTCCTCACGTGGTGCCAGAAGATGAGCCTGATGATGGATGTGGGGCCTGCCTGTAGGAGGGCATCTCTGGCCCAGAAGTGAACGGTCTCAAAAGGATGAGCCCATCCCTTGAGCTTGGCACCTCACACTCAGATGTTTGGCAAAGACAAGTTCTCTTCCGGCCAAGTACCCAATTCCTCATGTATTGTTCTTCTTGCAAAATACAATTTCGGTTTGCATGTCACATTTTATTAAAAGAAAGAGTGGGACAGCAAGAATTTTGTAACTCGGTGTGGCAAAACAAATGGCACTGCCTCAGAATAATAAGTCTGTCTTGTCTTTGATTTTACAAGAAGTTGGATTCACTTAAGGTTGTTCCCTAACAGAACTATGCTTTATAATGAAAAATTCCTCTGTTCTAAAAAAAAAAAGGGGGGCAGGAAAATAGAAAAATGAGTAAAAGAGTGGATTTTTGAAACCTAATTTCAGATTGATTAGATTTTAAACAGGACAAAGCACGAGTCTTTGAGTCATATGTGGTTATAATTTATACAGTATTCATATTTTTGCAAACTTGAGACTATTTGCACGTGTACACACACACACACACACACACACACACACACACACACACAACATCTCCCCATCCCTTTCCCTATAGATTAAATTTGGTTCCTGGGAGCTTGTGGCCTATGAGTAGGAGAGTTCTGCTCAGAGACATGAAACCTTCAAGTCTGCTGAGGTGGCAGGAGCAGTAAGCTCGCAGGAGGAGCTGAGGAGGGGATCTGCAGAGCATGGATGGGAAAGTCACCTCTTGGGTTCTGCAAATTGACAGCCTACGACAAGCTGGGATCCTTCCTGCTGCCATCCCAGTTCGGAGCTCCAGAAGAGATGGGGCTGACAGGGGGGACCCATAGAGGCACTTGTGTGCCTGGTGTATATGACAGTCCTCAAACCTCATGCTGTTTATATGCTGATTATGCTCTGTGCATCCTCTCCCATCCACATGGGCAGGGGCCGCAGAGTTGATAGCACAGAGCAGAATGCAATCATATCCCTGAATACCCATTGGCACAGTCTTACCTTGCACAGATCTCTGTACAGGGGGGGAAAGGTTAGACATTACAACAGGGAGAAACGTGATAACAGTACTGTTCTCAAACCAGCAGGTAGAAGAGAGAAAGGGGATGGGAATGGAGGCCGATTTAAAACAAGGTGGCCCCTGGCTGGGGCGAGGCCAGCCTCTTACCGTAGTGCGGGATGATGGCCCAGGCCATAGCAGAGGCGTAGATGCCGCCGATCATCCAGAACATGCAGAGCCAGCTCAGATGCTCGCCCCGCTTCTCTCGGGCCAGCACTTCCGCAAAGTAGGAGAACACAATGGGCATGGTTCCTCCGATCCTGCCAGAGATACAGAGAATAAGGGAGTTCAGGGCCTGAACCGTCACGTGAGATACAGAGGGCAGAATCAAAGCAAGCTCTCACAGCACAGGCTCTCTATCCCAGCTTATCAGTGAATGTAGACTTTCTATTACTTTATTACTTTAATAGATTCAGTTCTGTGTAATAGAGTTTTATCTCTCTAAAGCAGTGGCTCTCAACCTTTCTAATGCTGCGATCCTTTAATACAGTTCCTCGTGTTGTGGTGACCCCCCCACCATGAAATTATTTTTGTTGCTACTTCATAACTGTGATTTTGCTACTGTTATGAATCGTAATGTAAATATCTGTGTTTTCCAATGGTCTTAGGCTACCCTACTAGCGATTCTCAACCACTAGCAGGGTCGCCTATGGTTGAGAACCGCTGCTGTAGAGTCTAGAAGTGTGATTCCACATGACTTCAGATGCAGCACAATTTAGTGCCATCTCACCAGAGTAGCCAGACAGCTCCCAGTCCATCAATCAGACCCCCAACAAGACACAAGCGTGAGTAGTGCTGTCAGAGCTGGCTCGATGCCTCACCACGTCAGGCACACAGTCCTCTGTCAGCTTGCTCAGGACCTCAAACCATGGACAGCCAGTTGAATTGAAAAACATTCAACTAAGTTTTGAACAGAGTTAAAATGGTTTCATGACAACACACAATTTTAATGGGAAATAAAATGTCTGTATCTGAAATCATTTGACGCTACTTCTTTATTCCCACTCGATGTGATGTATCCGTTTTCTCTGCACCATAAGGTCCCAGGTCCCTAATCTGTGACCTCACTTCTCAATGCATAAAAAGAGTCCCAGTTTTTATTGGCTTTTCACAACCTAATTAATGTTTCGTCGGGATTCTGGATGGTTCATATGTAAGAGCAGTAACTCACACTTTGTGAAGGCACCATTGCATGTCAAGATATGCCAGGCCATGCTGAACTGAGAGCAATGTACTCCAGGGTGACTAAGATAGCAAGTAGAAGGCTGTAGACTCGCCAGTTAGTTTTAAACAAATCATGTTGCATAAAAGAGACTACCAACTTATAAGGGCATATGAGCAATCCAGCTGGTTTTAATTCAATGCCTCTTTTTTTTTTTTTTTTTAGGAGATTATTTTTGCATGGATGTATCTCAATGTTTGTCAGACAGACAGCAAGGAACTCTAATATCAGTGAATGAATGAGTGAAAATGAGGGAGGGAGTCTATGTAAATCCTTTGCAAAGTCCTTCAGATTCAGAGACCTATAAAACAACCCAAACATTCACATTTCTTATCGTGGGCAGATCATCTCTTTTGGGGAAAACATTGCTTCTTGTCTTACTGTGATTTTCTTTAGGCGAGAAAAACATTACAGTGTGCTATGATGTTAACTATTACTATTCCCTTCTTCATCAGAATACTTATACATCGTTTACATAATTTATGTTTACAAAGACGAAGCAATTAGATCAGGGTGCTTATGAAGGATTTTTTCTCAGAATTGGATAGTAAGCCTATTTTATTAGCTGTCAAAAGGGTCAACTCTCAATTGTCCGCAATAGGAGGCGAAAATCCATATTCTATATAGGTGGGTTCCAAATTGACATAATTAAATAGAACATTAATATCTGGCATTTCAGAATTGGGATTATTCCCTAAATATATTAATTTTAGGTTCGTACAACTTTAATTATAGGAACTAAAGAAACTAAATAAAACTGTATTAAAACACATTCCTGCCCAGGCGGCATGGTTCAGAGGTTGAGTGTCTCTGCTATGAACCACAGTTTGATCCTCGGTCAGACCCATGCTCGATCCCCAGTGTGGGGCGTGCAGGAGGCAGCCCATCTATGATTCACGCTCATTATTGATGTTTCTTTCTCTATCGCCCTTTCCCTTCCTTTCTGAAATCAATAAGTAAAAGCAAAACATTCCTAGAATGAGTCGGGAGCCCTCTCCCATCCCCTTGTACACATGAACATGCACATAGACACACACAAGTTCCTCAAACGTTCTGTATTTGACTCAATACTAGGCATCTGGTGAATATCATGAAACATTGCTTTTCCTCAGTAACTTAAGACAAATTCAGGAGTGGATACTGTGTAAGGCAAAGGGTGTATCAGCTTTACAGACAGGCTTTCTCTTCTGTGGGGAGAATGAGGCGCATACGTTCACTCAGTTTATCATGGCAAGAGGAAGGAGAATGACCGATATCACTGTCTGCACAAACCGTGAGGAGAAACGGGGAAGCCTGGTTGTCCTAAGGCCTGTCCACTTCACAGCCAAACCTCCAGCTCAGGTGGCAGTTTAGGGATGCACTGTTCATCCCTGTCCCTCCTCAAACTGACTTATGCTGGCTATTGAGGTGGGTGGGGATCCGGGCTTCTTCAATGGAAGAGGGAGGTTGCAGATAAAAATAACTGTACTTAAAATGGCTTGAAGTAGGACACCTTAGGGGAGAAATTATGGGATGTCTGATGACTTCCTGCCCTGAGGATGGACTCTACTGAGTAATTCTGCTCTGCTTTCATTCTCCAGTGAGCCTGTGACATAATAATTTCATTCTAACTTATTTCACCTGGTGATTTCAAAACAGTCCCTTACCTCAATCTTCCACTTCCCATTTCTGGGAAACGGGCGTTAAGGGAGAACATAAATAAGAAGGAATAACTGTTGTAAAGTCACAGGTTCATGCAGGTGAAACAAGGTAAAGTCCACCAAGAGCTCTCTAAACAGTATGATGGGTTTATAAGAAGAATAGTGAATGATGTTGTCCATGCAGAAATCACAGTTACAAATAGTTTGCATGAAAAACATCCTTTTAATCCTTATTCAGAATCAACAAAAGAGGAAGGAAGACACAGGCAAATTGCATAGCAATTCAGAAGCAATTAATTATGTTTTGAATTGGACATGGAAATAAACAGTTAAAAGCAGCAGCCCCCAAGGATGGGCTTTTCAGCTCCTTCTTCATGAAGTAAATAGGCTATCACAGAGGAGGTTGTTCAGAAGCTTAGATGAAAGAACAGAGATCTAACGGGCTCTGAATGAGCTGGGTTTGCACAGAAAATGAGATTGCTATATTGACTAGAAGCCACGTGGCTATTGTGAGTAATCAAGATAGAAAAGGAGAACACTTAATAGTAACCAAACCACTCAACACATCAAGGTGGGACTCTCTTAGGCACCCTGGCAGTGCTAAACTGATGGGTGGTTTGGATAGATTCCGTCCTTCAATCTCTAAAGCTGCAGTTTACAGAATGATAGTCTTGATATAGGCAGTTGCTATTTTTCAATATTATAGAAACTATGAATAGAATAGTTGGTAGAAAATGACTACTTTAAAAATATTGAGATGTAAATGAATAATTAAATTGACACAATTGTGTTTCTAAGAAAACATAGCTTCAATCCAACCCCTGGCCCTTGTTTGCTATCAGATTGGTGCCCTGAGCCCCCAAACTTACAGAAGTCTATGTGTTGACAGCAGCAGACCTGGTGCCACTGGGGGAACAGGTGTGGTCATAGGTCAGGATTCTAATGCTGCCTGAAAAAAATTAATCCCCCTATTGAGAGAGCTGGAAGAATGCATTCATTCCTACAGCACCTAGATAGTGTCATGAAAAGAAATGATCATTATGATGAACTGTAAGAAATGATGATAAAAATATGCAGACTTTTCCAGCCTGTACATATCTACTCATTGCTTCCTCTACTCACCCTCCCACCCACACACCATTTACCCATCCATCTATCATCTCCCCATCCACCCTCTAACCCAGTCATACTCAGCCAGGCACATCACCAGTTGCTGGGAGTACAGGCTTGAAGATCACAAGTTCCTGCTCACAGAGTGCATATGGCTAATTTTTCACAATTACAGGTTGTGAGTCTAAAAGAACTTTTGCTCTGTTACTTCTCTCTTGAGATCAACAGCACCTTTATTAAAGGGAATACAGGGAAATAAAGTGTCCAAAAGATCAACTTTATGTTGGAAATTCTCATAAAACCCATTGTCTAAGACAATGCTTTCCAATAGAAATACCACATGAACCACATATATTTTTTAATTTTCTAGAAAAGATATTTAAATACAGCAAAAATCAGGTGAAGTTAATTTTTATACATATTCATTTAACCCAATATATCCAAATATTATCATTTTGACATGTGATTATTGTGAAATTATTAATTAATGAAATATTTTGTGTTCTTTTATATGTGCTAAGTTTAAAATTTAGTGCTATGTATTTTGCACTTACAGCATATCAGATTGGTCACATTTCAATGCTTGGCTGGTACATGTGACCTGACAGACAACGCAGGTCTAAGAAAACTCTGACCCACTGTTTACAGTTTGGGCTTATGATTATTTTTGGATCAAAGCTACTTTAGTCTGTTGCCTCTTCTTCCATATCGGGGGAGTTCTTTCCATTTTGGTTTTCTAAATCAGAAATCTTCCTGAATGTTTATTTAGTGCCTATATATGTTGAGCATTGTGTCCTATGAAATCGGAGACATTGCTCATTGAATCTGAGATAGCACAGTCTCGTGGTTATGAACATGGGCTCTGGAGCCAGACTCACTGGCTACGATGACACCACTTACCGTGTGACTTTGGACAGCTATTTAATCTCTCTGTGTCTCAATTTTCTTATCTATAAAGTCGATAGAATAAATAGTATCTTCCCCCTAGGGTCACCGTTAGGTTTAAATGAGGCAATATTTATAAAGTGCTTAACACAGCATTTCTCACACGGTAAGCATTATGTAAAAGTTTTGAACAATTTTTAATGGGTTTGTATTTTTTCAATATGATAAGAAAGTAAAACATATCTTAAAAGAAAGACTACTTTTGAAGGGAAATATTATAGCTTAGAATTAAGACTAAGATGCAGAAGACCTGGGTTGGGGTCTACTGAACATTTGAAGTCAATCTATCTGTGCCTCAATTTTCTAATTAAAAAAAAGGTATGCTCTGTTTGGTTTGGCTCAG